CACCCCCTTGTCCTGGAGCTGGGAACCCCAAAACAGGCTGGGGTGGCTCAGAGGGGTCCTGGTGTCACCCCCCTTGTCCTGGAGATGGGGACCCCAAAATTGGATGGGGTGGGGTGGCTCAGAGGGGTCTCACTGTCACCCTCCCTGTCCTGGAGATGGGGACCCCAAAACAGGAGGGGATGGGATGGGATGGGGTGGCTTGGATGGCTCAGAGGGGTCTCAGTGTCACCCTCCCTGTCCTGGTGACAAGAACCCCAAAATGGGATGGGATTGGATGGCTCAGAGGGGTTTTGGTGTCACCTCCCCTGTCCTGGTGACAAGAACCCCAAAACAGGCTGGGGTGGCTCAGAGGGGTTTTGGTGTCACCCCCTTGTCCTGGTGACAAGAACCCCAAAATGGGAGGGGATTGGATGGTTCAGAGGGGTTTTGGTGTCACCTCTCCTGTCCTGGTGACAAGAACACCAAACCGAGAACTACTGAGAGCTTTTTGGGAGGACACTCAGAACTCTCCAACCCTAAATCACCCCAACAACGCCACCACCCCAGGAGCTCCCCAAAAGCGGCTCAGACCGGAGCCATTTGGGACTTCCCGAGCGGGGGAAATCCCGATTCCCGTGGTGTTCCCACGCCATCCCGCTCCTCCCGGCGCCGCTGACCGTCGTTGGGCATGGTGAGGATGGGGATCTGGGTGATGGAGCCGTTCCTGCCCTCCACGCGCCCGGCGCGCTCGTAGATGGTGGCCAGGTCCGTGTACATGTAGCCGGGGAAGCCGCGGCGACCCGGGACCTCCTCCCTGGCTGCCGAAACCTGCGGGGTTCGAGGGGTTAGAGAGCCCCAAACACCCCAAAAAAACCCCAAAAACCCCAAAAACCACGGGAGGAACGAGGGATACGGGTGTTCCGAGCAGTACCGGAAACCCCAAAAAACTCTGGGTGTGCTGGGTGCTCCAAACACCCCAAAAAACCCCCAAACACCCCAAAAACCCCAAACACCCCAAAAAACCCCAAACACCCCAAAAAACCACGGGAGGAACGAGGGATACGGGTGTTCTGAGCAGCAGAGGAAACCCCAAAAAACCCCAGGGTGTGCTGGGTGCCCCGAAAACCCCAAAAACCTCAAACACCCCAAAAACCCCAAACACCCCAAAAACCACGGGAGGAATGAGGGATACGGGTGTTCTGAGCAGCAGAGGAAACCCCAAAAAACCCCTGGGTGTGCTGGGTGCCCCAAAAACCCCAAAAACCCCAAACACCCCCAAACACCCCAGGTGTGCTGGGTGCCCAAAAACCCCAAAAAACCCCCAAACACTCCCAAAAACCCCAGGTGTGCTGGGTGCCCCAAATACCCCCAAACCCCAAAAACCACAGGAGGAATGAGGGATACGGGTGTTCTGAGCAGCACAGGAAACCCCAAAAAACCCCCGGGTGTGCTGGGTGCCCCAAACACCCCAAAAAACCCCAAATACTTCATAACCCCCAAACACCCCAAAAACCACTGGACCCCCCCAGCTGTCCTTGTCACCCTAAACACCCTAAACACCCCATAAACCCCACAAGGATCCCCAGCTGTCCTTGTCACCCCCCAAGGACCCCCAGGTGCCATTGTCACCCCCCGGTGTCCCCGGCTGACCTCCCGGAGCGCCTCGGCGTAGGAGCTCATGTCGGTCAGGATGACCAGCACGTGCTTCTCGCACTGGTACGCCAGGAACTCGGCCGTGGTCAGCGCCAGCCGCGGCGTGATGATCCTCTCGATCCTGGGCCACGCCCCCAATTAGCGCAATTAGCATAATTAACCCACCTCGGGGGAAGGTTTGGGGTGCAGGGAGGAGGAGTCCTAATGGGGTCACCCCCCATGACCGCCGGGGTTTTGGGGTCACCTCCCGAAGTGATCCGGGTGGGATTGAGGGGGGAAGAGGAGAGGGAGGAAAGGGAGGGAGAGGGAGGGAGGAGGGGAGAGGGAGAGGGAGGGAGGAGGGGGAGAAGGAAAAGGGAGGAGAAAAGAAGGAGAGAGGAGGAGGGAAAGGAAGGAGAAAGGAAAAGGAAAATGGGGGAGAAAAGGGAGAGGAAGAAGGAAAAAGGAGGGAGAAGGAAAAGAGGGAGAAGGAGAAATGAAAATACGATGGAAAAGAATAAGAGAAGAGGGAGAAGAAGGAGAAGAAAAAGGAGAAAGGAGGAGGGAGAAGGAGGAGAAGGAGAAAGAAAAGGAAAAAGGTGAAGGAAAAAGAGGGAAGAGGAGGAGGAGGAATAAGAAAAAGGAGGAGAAAGGAGAAAAAAAGAGGAGGAGGAGGAGGAAGGAGGAAGAATGAGGAGAAAAAAGAACGAGACAAAAGGAGAAATGAGGAGGAGGAAGGAGAAGGAAAAAGGAGAAGGGAAAAGGAGAAGGGAAAAGGAGAAGGGAAAAGGAGAAGGGAAAAGGAGAAGGGAAAAGGAGAAGGGAAAAGGAGAAGGGAAAAGGAGAAGGGAAAAGGGGAAGAGGAGGAGGAATAAGAAAAAGGAGGAGAAAGGAAAAAAGAGGAGGAAGAGGAGGGAGAATGAAGAGAAAAAAGAGGGAGCCGAAAGGAGAAAGGAGGAGGAGGAGGAAGAAAAGAAGGGAGGAGGAGGAGGAGGAGGAGGAGGAGGAGGAGGCGGCTCACGTGGGGTCGTTGGCCAGGTTGAGGAAGAGGCACACGTTCTCCATGGAGCCGTTCTGCTCAAAGTCCGACTTGAAGAACCGCGCGGTCTCCATGTTCACCTGGATGGATGATGGATGATGTGGGTGGGACACGCGCTCAGCGGGGTGGGGACACGGGGACACGGCAGCTCTGGGGTCAGCTGGGATGTCCCATGGTGTCCCCAACTCACCCCCATGGCCGCGAAGACGATGGCGAAGTTGTCCTCGTGGAAATCCACCACGTCCTTGGATTTCTTCACCAGCCCGGCCTGGCGGCAGATCTGAGCCGCGATCTGGGGAGGGGACAGGGACAGGGGTGACAACGGGGACATCCCGGAGCGGCCATGGCCCCCCTGGCACTGGGACACGGCCCCACGGGCTGGGGGACAGCGGGGTGTCCTCCACCAGCTGCGTCCTGCCTTGCCCGTGGTCACTCCTGACTGGTCAGGGGTGGTCTCCATCCCATGGATCCCATGGATCCCATCCCACTCCATCCCATGGATCCCATGGATCCCATGGATCCCATCCCATTCCACGGATCCCATCCCATCCCATGGATCCCATGGATCCCATCCCACCCCATCCCATGGATCCCATCCCATTCCACGGATCCCATCCCATCCCATTCCATGGATCCCATCCCATCCCATGGATCCCATGGATCCCATGGATCCCATCCCATTCCACGGATCCCATCCCATTCCATGGATCCCATCCCATCCCATTCCACGGATCCCATGGATC